CCCCAGCCCCCCTCCGGTCCTCGCTCCATCCCTTCCCCCCCTCTCTGCTGGGGTGCCTGCACCCCTCCTTCCCTCGCCGGTCCAAACCCCTTCACTCCCCTCCCCTCCCCGCCCCTCCCCACCTTCTTTGATTTATTTGTGTATTTCTTTCCTTGGCAACCACCAGTTCCCCTCAGTCATACAGCACAGGCTCCCTATAATTTGAAATTAATTTGTTTGACTGCAGCGTTGAGACAGGAAGGTTGGGAATTTATTTAATTCTTTTTCCTCCCTGTGCAAAAAGGAAGCGATGAAATTTCCAATCGAGACTCCAAGAAAACAGGTCAACTGGGATCCTCAAGGTTGGTGATTCTCTATTACTATCATTACTATAATAATAACAATTATTATTATTCCTTGTGTCTAGTGACTTGTAGGAGACTATTTGACTCCAAATGGGAGGAGACGATGGATGCTTGTCTGCTTCCCATGTGCACTGCTCTCTTTCTTACTCAATACTAGCAGTGTGCTAGAAAATGCTCCTCAGATGTGGGGTTGGGTGGGTGCGTGGGTAAAACCCCTTCTAGGTGTAAGTTTTATAGTTCTATATTGGATATCTCTCTTCCCTCCCCTCCCCTCCCTTTTTCTTGAGTATTTCCACGGCAAACTTGCCCGGGATGGCAGTGGTCTCTGGCTTACAGCATTGTTTGTTTTATCTGTGGCTCCTTTGTTGTTTCTAGTGATCATTGTCTCTGCTAAATGGGTGGTACAGGAGTGGACACAGATGTGACTGCTTGCTCAGGGCTCCTCGATGGCAAATGTTTGTTGGCAAGCAACTGGAGCAAAATGCTGCTGTAATATAACTCATGGTGTGGATGGTATAAAAAGACATATTAAATAATGGAGCCCAAAGGAACCTTTAGACTCTTTACTCTGTCCTGTTAACAATTGATTAGCCCAAGTGGATAGTTTGATTAACTCTATAGTTAGGTTTGGAGTCTGTCTTGGGGAGTGTGTTTGTGTGATGGTGGAAGGATTTACGCCAGTGCAGTGGTTTTCAATAAAACGATCCAAGTGGTGTTTTAAAATAAACCATAATGAAATGCTCTCCTTTCCTGGCACTGGGAGGAGGTTCATATGCAACCTACAGAAAAAGTGACTGAAAAAAACACTACTGGTAATTTGTATACTGGTGTGTCATATTTCTGTGCATCAGTACAAGAGCAGAGCAACTTGAAGCCATATGCTCAGGTTTGCAGCAGAACTGCTGGCAGCCAGTCACTGCACAGCAGTGCTTGCAGGAAGTATGAAGTGATAGCACAGGCTTTGATTATTCATCTTTATTCCGCAGGTTTGGTTTTAGTGGTCAATTTGTCTGTCATCCTCCATGCCCTCATGTCTACAAAATGAAACGTTAGAAACAGTTTCTGCTAGTGTAGAAGGAATACAGCAGAACAGACATCTTTCTGCTGAGCAGATCTGATGTGCTCTTTGAATAGGATACACAATTAAGCTTTAGTTTAAGCCCTACTACATCTTTAATTAGGTGAAGGCTGAAATCGACACATAAGCCTCCTCTGCCCTCAGCTTCACAACAAATGCATGGATAGTAGCGCTAACAGAGATTTGATTATTTTAATAACAGTATCCTTATCCTAGGGCCAAAATTCTGTGCGGTGAAAACTTGCTCTTCCTGGGTGCTTTTCTGAATGTATCTTTGCTGTTGCTTCATTTTAATTCATTTTATGTATTGCAAAATGCCTTTTGATGCAAAAAGCGCTTTCCTCCCTTCCCTTGACAAGGCACACAGGAGGCTGTATGATGGCATTCTGTATGCAGCTCTTTTGCTTGGCAATCAGCTTTAAAGCATATGGATCCAACAGGTGGCTGGTCACAATTTACTAATGTGTTCAAAACCATAGAGTACCGTAACAGGTAAAAGACCTCAAACCCAGCAGGTTTTCTCTCTGCCAAGCTGAATCCCTGCTAAGGACTTCAGAATCCTACCTGTTATTTCCCCTCAGTGTATTGACTTCATTAGCCAGGCAGCAAGGATGCTAATGTATAGCCAGGAAGGAAGCAAAAAAATGTTAATTTCTAATTCTCCAAGGGACTCAGGAAATAGATAAAATTTGGTGGAATGGAAAAAGGCAAATTGGTAAGGAAAAGCTGTCTAAGGCCCAATCCTTCAACCAATAGAGGAACAGTGCAATGACATTGTACTCACATAGTCCCACTGAAGAATTAGTGATGTGTGTAGAAGGCAAGGTAGATCAGAGTTCCATTCTTTTTGAAATGAAAATGTATTTATGTACATATAAATATTAGCAAAGATCTACACCAAATCACTTAGAGCCCTAAAATTAATTTGATTTACAGTCACATATGTAGTCTGTTCTCTGCATGTACATGTGAAGGATGATGTTATGTTTTGCATCCTATGTGATATCCTTGGAGTTAAGAACTGAAGTAGCTCTTCTCAGATACAAAAATCAACATGTAGAAAGCTGGTGGTGCAAGGATACGAAGAGTTCTAAGTATTAAAAGCAGAGCTCATGCCCAGTTAATGTTCACACACAAATACCAGGCTCATTTAAGTGTGTATGATCGTGCCCTGTTCTGGTCGTCAGACAGAGAACGTGCAGTTTCCACAGTTTTGTCTCGTAGGAATTATTCTAACTTGTGCTAACAGTACTTGAAATACATCAACTGATGTTCCTGGCAAGCAAGCTAGCAGTCCAATGATGTAAGTGAGAGCAATGGTATCTCAAAGATTGCTTAGATCTGATTATTCCACGCAATATTTTCTAGAAACTATACACATTTCTAAAGGCCAGGGCCCTTGTTGTGGAGACATGGCTGGCTTGAGACTGATAATGTTGCTGGTTTGAACCCAGGTCAGAATGATAGTCATTGAAATGAATTAATGCTCAAACTCCATAACGCTGACTGAAGTATAAATATTTACATAGATAAATAGATTAGAGTCTGCTGGTAGCTTTCATCTGGCATAAAACTGGTATTCTCAGTTCACATCAGCAAAGATCAATATACCATAGAAAGATGTTGTGGAGAGAACAGGTTTAAAAGAATAGAATTGACATGAGAGATGGTGTCTGACAGACAGCTAATGGGAGACTGATTTCTCAGCCATTAAACTGGAACAAGCAGGACATGGAGTCTGAACTGTGCTTTTATCCTGTCGTGTAGTATCTTCACTTGTCTTGGGTATAGAGTATATCTATGTGTTCCCTGTAAATGCTGAGTGTGTTTTCCAGATAAACCAAATATTTCATAAACCTGGAAGTATATAGGGTCCAGATTCCTCCAGTGAAGTCCCCTACTATCCCAGGCAATCAAACTATATAATCCCATTAACAAACAGATCAAACTCCATCCCAGAAGCCACTGGGACTTGTCCCTAACAATCCAATGTGAAATATGTGCTAGAATCTCATATATATTGATGAAAAAATATATTATGCATATACAGTGAGTGAATGGGGTAAGAAATGAGTAAAAGACCCAAGCAGGCACCTCAAGAATGCTTTAGGGAGAGTTGGACACATTGAGTAGGGGTACAGGGTCTCATACTACCTGGCCTTACATTTTAAAAAACAAGCCTGCCATTTGTGTTACTGGTGGAGTCAGCCTGGATATACACAATCATAAAACATTTGATCTGCCTATCACTGACTTTTGCTTCTCCCATTTGGTGCAATTCAGGTAAGGCAATAATAACTGAAATTAGTGAAAGACCAGATTTTTAGTTTCATACCTCATACAACTTCCCATCTATACTTTTCAGAATATGAGATTGGGTTTATAGCAGTATACGAAGACATTAGTTCTTGTAATTGTTGTTCTCATCTCTCCTCTTTCCTGCATTCCTCCTGCTGTTTGTTACACCCACCTGTTGTCTGTGCTTAAATTGGCTTATAATCTCTTTGCACATATATTTTTATACAGTACCTAAAATACAGTGCATCCCTTATCCTGACTGAGACATCTGGATGTTACAGCAATATAAATTGTTTTTCCTATGAATTATCTGCTTAAAATTGCTGTTTCTTTGTAGAAAAGAAGGGTAGATGATACTGTTTCCAGTATGCTCGGAAATTATCCCCAAGCATGACTGTCTTGCAGGGTGATGGTGAGATGTCTTTTCCAAGGGAAGGATGTCTATCTTGGTGATGCTCTTAGTAGGCAGAAAATGGAGTTCAATCTTGTTCCATCCTTTGTGCCTGCAGTTTTTTGCTGTCATTGCAGTGATATGGATTGTCAAAGCCTTTTGAATTTTCAGGTAGATGCTTATTGCGACACTGACCTTTTGGAACTCTGAAGTTTTGATACAAGTTCCTGCGTCCTTTCACAACGACATCATTTGTGTAGGATGGCTTTCTGCAGTTTGGAACCCTAAAATCATGCATTTATTAACATCCTTACATTTAGTGTGGGAGTTAGTGGTCTGTGGGGAATTCAAGCTGTGGTTGAGAGTCTGGAGTTCCTCTTCAGATTTTGCTACTGACTTACTGTTTAGCCTTCAGTAAGCCACTTACCCTTTCTGTTCGTCCCTTTTTCCTTGACTGCAAAACAGGAATATTAATACTTCCCTAATGCACAAGGGTGTTGTGAAATATAATTAACTTGTTTAGAGCAATCTAAGATCTGCTATTGAAAGAAGAGCATATGTATTGCAATCAAATGCTAAAACAATTAGGAGGGAGCAAAACAGCCTGTCATCATACACAGATCACATCAATTAAGAAATAAGGTTATCGCTGCACTTTACAACTAGAGGAAACTAGTATTACTTGTGCTTCTTTACAGACACTAAAGGCTCAATTGAGTTTCCCATTAGAGGTATCTAGAGACCTTTGATATTCCCCAGCTGCCGCTCCAGAGGGGCTCAAGTCTTCCATAGGTCCTGTGTCACCTGCCATAGGATATCTCACTTCACCTGAGACACCTCAAGCAGCTCTGGACACCTATATGTGGGACAACTGAGCTGAGTCTCAAACGCCTTCATGCAAGTATCAGAGTTGGATCATCCCTTGATGACTGTTCATTGGAAAAATCTTCAGCATCAGCTACTCAGTATAAATTAAACTGACACTGCCTGCAGAATGTTACAAACTGCTGCAGTTCCTGCTTTTTCTGTGCTTTCATTCAAAGAGACCAATGCAGAAGGCAAACTTGATTATAAAGGCATAGATGAGTAGAATGAAGGTGTTCATTTCTGTCCTCTGTTTTCAAGAAGATATATGCAAAGAAGTGGAGTGCAACTGTGAGGTAGACAATATCTTTCTGCACTAGTAAGTCAGTTCTTAGTAGCTCAGTGTAAGAAGACTGCTATGGAAAG